GTGTGTGTGTGTGTGTGTGTGTGTGTGTGTGTGTGTGTGTGTGTGTGTGTGTGTGTGTGTCTGTGTGTGTGTGTCTCACCTCCATCTCATCGACTTCTATCTTTATGAAACTGTGACATGTTTTTGACGTGATGCACAATAATATCAGCTCCACTGTAGCGTCTGTGGAAGTGGTATCTGTGGTTCCAGTGACTTTTTAAACCACAGCTGGAGTTAAACTGTGAGTTAGGTGAAAGCGCTCRACAACCACCTCCTAAAATCAGTTGGATGTGGTGGCCGAGGCTGCTCACCTGTCTCCTCTGTCGGCTTTCTGCCAGGTTTGTCTGAAGTATTACGAGTACGAGTTCATGGAGCTGGCCTGTCAGTGCCCCGCTGTGGTTTGCTGCCGGTGCACCCCCACCCAGAAGGCTCAGATAGTCCGTCTGCTGCAGGAGCACACGGGCAAGCTCACCTGCGCCGTGGGTGAGTTAAAAAACAGCTAAAAAGTAGAGCATAAGTTTGCTGAATTTAGCAGAATTAAATTGAAAAAGCTCAAAAAATGTATAATTAGCTTATGAAGCTAACTTTTGCTAATAAAAGCTACAATTTTGCTAAATTTGTAACAAATAGTTGAATATAGAAGAAAGCAACTGGAAGAAACATAAATAGCACAAATTAGCAGAAAAAAGTATAACAAAGCAGAAAAAAGCAGAATAATAGCAGAAAGAAGTAGAATTTTAGCTAATATAGCAGCAAAACAGCTAAAGTTAGCATAAAAATAAGCTAAAAGTAACACACTCAAGTTAAAGGTAGCACCCAGATGTTGAAATGGTTGTAAAATTTTCAAAATTAGCAGAAAAAAAAAACATAAAACTACAAAAAAATGATAATTTCAAGTAAAATAGGAAAAAACAGCCGAAGTTTTCAGTAAACAGCTAAAAAGTAGCTGGAAACATTTTAATTAGCATAAGAATGCATAAAGAGCACAGTTTTGCTGAATTTAGCAGAAGAAAGGTGGAATAACTCCAAAAAATGTGTTATTGGCTTAGAAAGCTAACTTTGGGTAATAACAACTAAAACGATATTTGTTGCAAATGGCTGAATATCGAATACCTCCTCAATCCCACCAACATGCCTTCTGTTGAGGAAGCTGAGCCTGGGGACTTTGGGTTGGGCTCTCCAATCTCTGGTGCTGAGGTCACTGAAGTGGTCAAAAGCCTCCTCGGTGGCAGGACCCCGGGGGTGGATGAGATCTGCCCGGAGTTCCTCAAGGCT